TTTAACACTATTCTCAAATTCAGAGGGCATCTTATTATAATTTCCATAAGAGTTGTTGTAGGAGTTTCCATAATTATTAGAAGGATTACTAGGATATGGCCTAGGATTAAAATTCCCTCTGTACGCGTTGTTACCAAAATTATTCCTACCAACAAAATTCACATCCATAGATTCATTGTTATTCTCAATCAAAGTAGACAAAGGCATATCATTAGGATCAGAAGAAACACTCTTAGTAGCAAATAATTTCATAAGTTCGTCCATCTTTCCACTCAAAACATTGATTTCTTCTATCGCATGCACTTTTTTATTAGAAGATCTTTCAGTATGCCATTGAGAATAATTAACCATAATATTATCTAAGAGTTTAGTAGCATCTTCTAAAGTGATATCCATAAAAGTGCCTCCCGCGGCTGAATCTAAAAGATTTCTAGAAGCAAAATTCAATCCGGCATAAATATTTTGTATAATCATCCACAAATTCAAACCATGAATAGGGCAATTACATATCATTAATTTCATTCTCTCCCAAGCTTGTGCAACATGTTCATGATCAAGTTGCTTAAAGTTCATAATATCGTTTTTAAGAGAGATGATCTTAGCGGGAGGAAAATACTTAGAGATAAAAGCATCTTTGCACTTGTTCCAAGAATCAATATTATTTTTAGGCAAAGACGAAAATCAAGCTTTAGCACGATCTCTAAGAGAAAAAGGAAATAGCTTCAATTTAACGACATCATTATCGATATCTTTTTTCTTTTGCATATCACATAAATCAACGAAGCTATTCAGATGAGTAGCGGCATCTTCACTAGGAAGGCCGGCGAATTGATCTTTCATAACAAGATTCAACAAAGCAGTATTGATTTCACAAGATTCAGTATTGGCAAGAGGAGCAATCAGAGTGCTAAGGAAATCATTATTATTGGTATTGGTGAAGTCACACAATTTGGTAGTATCTTGAGCCATCGCGACAAACAAGCAATCCAATACATGGGCAAACAAAAAGGCAAGCGAGAAAAAGGCAAATGGAGAAAGGAGGAGGAGAAGGAGAAGGAGAAAGAGAGGGCGAATAAAACGGCAAGGGTGAATTGGGGGGAGAGGAAAACGAGAGGCAAATGGCAACTAATGTAATGCGAGAGATAGGGATTGTGATGGGTACTTGGTATGTTGACTTTTTGCGTAGACTCCCCGGCAACGGCGCCAGAAATTCTTCTTGCTACCTCTTGAACTTGCGTTGGATTTCCCCGAAGAGGAAAGGATGATGCAGCAGAGTAGCGTAAGTATTTCCCTCAGTTTTTGAGAACCAAGGTATCAATCCAGTAGGAGGCCATGCTCAAGTCCCTTGTACCTGCACAAAACGATAGCTACTCGCAACCAACGCGATTAGGGGTTGTCAATCCCTTCACAGTCACTTACGAGAGTGAGATCTGATAGATATAATATTTTTGGTATTTTTGGTATAGAGATGCAAAGTGAAAAGTAAAAGGCAAAGCAAGATTAAAGTGATGGAGATTGATATGATGAGAATAGACCCGGGGGCCATAGGTTTCACTAGTGGCTTCTCTCAAGAGCATAAGTATTCTACGGTGGGTGAACAAATTACTGTTGAGCAATTGACAGAATTGAGCATAGTTATAAGAATATCTAGGCATGATCATGTATATAGGCATCATGTCCGTGACAAGTAGACCGAAACGATTCTGCATCTACTACTATTACTCCACTCATCGACCACTATCCAGCATGCATCTAGAGTCTTAAGTTAAAAACAGAGTAACGCCTTAAGCAAGATGACATGATGTAGAGAGATAAATTCATGCAATATGAAATAAACCCCATCTTGTTATCCTCGATGGCAACGATGCAATACGTGCCTTGTTGCCCTTTCTGTCACTGGGAAAGGACACCGCAAGATCGAACCCAAAGCTAAGCACTTCTCCCATGGCAAGAACTACCAATCTAGTTGGCCAAACCAAACGGATAATTCGAAGAGACTTGCAAAGATAACCAATCATACATAAAAGAATTCAGAGAAGATTCAAATATTATTCATAGATAGACTTGATCATAAACCCACAATTCATCGGTCTCAACAAACACACCGCAAAAAGAAGAAGATTGAATCGAATAGATCTCCACAAGAGAGGGGGAGAACTTTGTATTGAGATCTAAAAAGAGAGAAGAAGCCATCTAGCTAATAACTATGGACCCAAAGGTCTGAGGTAAACTACTCACACTTCATCGGAGAGGCTATGATGATGTAGATGCCCTCCGCGATGACGGCCCTCTCCCGCGGAGCTCCGAAACAGGCCCCAAGATGGGATCTCGTGGATACAGAAAGTTGCGGCGGTGGAATTAGGTTTTTGGCTCCGTCCCCGTTCGTTTGGGGGTACGTAGGTATACATAGGAGGAAGAAGTACGTCGGTGGAGTTTCGGTGGGCCCACGAGGGCGGGGGGTGCGCCTTGGGGTATAGGGCGCGCCCCCCTACCTCGTGCCCACCTCGAAGCTTCCTTGGCGTAGGGTCCAAGTCTCCTGGGTCATATTCGGGAAGAAAATTACGTTCCAGAAAGGTTTATTCCGTTTGGACTCCGTTTGATATTCCGTTTTTTCGAAACACTGAAATAGGCAAAAAAACAGCAATTCTGGGCTGGGCCTCCGGTTAATAGGTTAGTCCCAAAAATAATATAAAAGTGGAAAATAAAGCCCAATATAGTCCAAAACAGTAGATAATATAGTATGGAGCAATCAAAAATTATAGATACGTTGGAGACGTATCAGCGCTCCTTCGCCTTGTCCAGGCGCTCCTTCTCCATCGTTATGGAGTCCCTACGCGCCCATTCCAGGGCCGCGTCATCGTCGTCGAGCTCCGTCTTCACCGGCGCGGCCGGCTCCTTCACCGGCGCGAGCCCCGGCTCCGTCTTTGGCTTGACGAAGCGCGGAGGAGGAGCCGACGAGGAGGCGCGCCGACCGCCCTCGTCGATGACGATGCCGGCGCTGCGAGTGCGCCGGCCGAGCGGCGTCTCCGCCGCGGGCTCGGCCTTGATGCCGAGCAGAACCGGAGTACCGGAGGAGTGCGAGGAAGATCGCGAGGAGGAAGAAGAGAAGGAGGACCCGAACCTCCTTGGTGCCCATGGCCCAGCGTGTCGGTGGTGCGCCGGGGTGGCCATCCTCGCCGGGTACGCCAACGGCGGGTCGTTGCTGCCCTCAAGGTACGTCAGCACGCCCTCGAGTGTGCGGCCGGGGACGCCCCACCACAGGTGGCGCCCCTCGCTGTTCTTCTGGCCGCCGACCACCGGCGCGTCGTTGGTGGACGCCAACCGCTGCTGCTGGCGGCGCTCGAAGTACGCCGCCCAAGTCGCGTGGTTGTCGGCGGCGTACTGGGGGAGGGAGAGCTGGGCGTCGGTGAGGGAGGCGCGTACGACCTCGACCTCCTCGACGAAGTATTTGGGCTTGGCCACGGCGTCGGGCAACGGGGGAATGGGCACTCCCCCGTCGCTGAGTCTCCACCCCGTCGGCCCGGCGCGCATGTCCGGCGGCGTCGGGATGTTCGCCTGGAACAGGAGCCAAGACTCCTGTTCACGCAGCGAACGGCGGCCGAAGCCGTTGGCCGCCGCCTCGTCTCGGGGGAAACGCGCTGCCATGGCGACGGACCCGGGAGAGGTAGAGAGGGAGAGGGAGGGGCTGGGCGGCAGCGCTCGGGAGAGGTAGAGGGAGGGGCTGGGCGGCAGCGCTCGAGAGAGGTAGAGGGAGGGGTTGGGCGGCGGCGAGGGGCGGGGCTGGTGTGGGCACAGGCGAGTGAGGCCACCAGCTATATAGCCGTGCCGCGCCCGTGTGAACGCGTGCGAGGGAGGGGAGGCGAAAATCGGGCTCCTGGGGGCGCGACTGGGCCGTTTTTTTGGCGCCGGCGCGAGAAAATCGCCTGGGGAGACCTTCCTGAGACGCGGCTGGAGATGCTCTAAAACTTAATATGGATGCCTCTTTTAATCATAACCTACTTTGTGGCACGACCGACATTGTTTTCAGGGACGATAAAGGAAAGCTCATTGCAGGGGTGAATTGGAGAATTGATTAGTGCACGGATGTCCTGACGGTGTAAACTTTGACGCTTAGATATGGTCTATCCATTGCTCAAAGGACGGGTTGCGACCGTATTGCTATAAACTCAGATAGCCTGGAGGTCATTGAAACCATGAGCAACAGAGGACGGACGGCGAGTACATTGGCGGCAGTGTTTGACGATTTTTACGTTTTGGCTTGTGAATTTCTCATTACTAGATTCAAGAGCACTGTAATAGGGAAGCAAATAAGGTTACCCATGAACTTGCTAAGTTAGCTAAATTTTCTACAACTTTTGACTGGTTTGAGGAGTCTTTGAGTGAAATTGTACCACTCTTCATAAAAGATGTAATTGTTATTGGAAATGAATAAAGATCTGTGTTTTTTCATTAAAAAAAGAAGTTGCATCCCAAGCCAACAAGATGGCTCCTCCTGCTTATCGTCAATGAAGCCAGCCAAAGCTGGATCTTTAAAGAAAAAAAAACATAATAATACACAAAGTAAGTGTATCCATCGAAACAAGAACACTGCACAATGTATGACTATGCATAAAAGGAAGCCAAAAACAAAACTGGTACAATATAATTCGGCACCCAGCCAAAAAAACTTGGTTACAAGAACAAATACAACAAAAAATTAAGACAAACTGGAGTGCTACGGTCGCTGTTAAAAACTCGACGCGATATTAGTTTCGAAAGAAAAAAATCAACCAAGCATTAAGTAACTAGCCGAAGTATGGTAGTACGTCACTCGTTCCTTCTACAATCAAGGAAGAGAGTACCGCGAGGAAGAAGAAGAGTAATTCAAAGCGCAATTAATCAATTTGATGGAGACGCTGCTGGATGGAGGCCTACGTGCGTCGCCGGAGAGGTGGGCGGGGCGACAGCTCGTAGTTACGTACGTACGCGGTGTGGCAGTGACGCGCTCACGCGCACTGCTTCTAGTCGCTGCGGAGCTTGTGCTTGCCGGACGCCTTCTTGTGGGGCTTCTCGGCCTTAGCGTCCGCGTTGCCGGCGGCGGCATCCGGCTGTCCGTCCTCGTGCCCCTGCGAGACGATGCTTGACACCTGCTCCTGCTTGTTGCCGGCCGCCAAGCCGTCCAGGTCCTCAGGGTCGACGGAGCTGATCCGTATGACCGAGGGGCCGTCGCTGGACATGGGGTTGTTGAACTCGTTGCATGCCTTCCTGACCTCGCCGTCCTTGCCGGTGATGGCCTTGAGCACGGTGAGCTTCTCCATGGCCTTGCCGAATGCCGACGCGAAGTCCTCTTTGGGCTTGTTGAGCATGTCCTTGAGTATGGGCCCCGTCTTCTCGTCGATGGCGAGGAGGCGGTCGATGGTGAGCGGCATCTTCTCGGCGATGGCGTTGGCGAAGAAGGAGTTGTCAATGGTGTTGGGGTTGGACTGGTCCATGTTGACGAAGCCCGGTTCCCGGTTGGGCCCGTCGCAGAGCTTGCTGATGCTGGCGCGATAGCCCGGCTCCATGGGCGAGGCGTCGGGCTCGATGAAGATGCACCTGACCTTGCCGATGCTGTGGCCGCCGGCGAGCAGCAGCACCATCTCCTCGGCGGTGAAGCCGGCCTTCACGAAGTCGGCTGTGACCTGGGGCACGGGGATGTCCGGGCCGGGCAGGTTGTCGTCGGAATCCTCGCGGTTGGAGACGAGCGAGTCGCGGCGGCCCGTGGGGACCGCGTAGTCCGGGCCGCCGGAGAGTTTCACGGAGTCGCGGGTGGCGAGGGAGATGATGTCGGCGCAGGACACCGTGTTGGGGCACTTGGCCTCCAGCTCCTTCTTGGCCTCGTCGATGATCTCGTAGCCGCGCACCGAGATGTTGGGCCCGGCCTCCTTCTCGGAGCTTTGGTTGGACAGCGGGTCGATGAGGATGGACGCGTCGCACCCCTGACATAACATAAAAACACCCATGCATGCATGCACGCAGAGGCGGCAGATCAACCCACATTTTCTCTCCATCGAGGACGGATTCCAATCAAATCTCTACCCTAACTAATCAAAGAACCAAACGAGGGCGGCGTGCGTACATTGGCGAAGCAGTCGTGGAAGAGGAGGCGGAGGAGGCCGGCGGCGGTGCCGGGGTCGTCCTTCATTTTCTTCTCGATGACGGCGGCGACGATCTTCTCGGCGTCCGGGCAGGACTCCTTGTAGAAGTCGGGGGCGAGATCGGCGGAGGCCAGCGGCGCGGCGGCGGCCGCGAGGAGGCCGAGGGCGAGGACCAGGCGACAGGCGTCCATGGTTGTGGATCCAATGCAAGCAAGGTGCGCGGGTGTGTAGCAAGGCCTTGCCGTGCTGGAGCACACGGCCGGCCCGCGCTTAATACCCTGGCGGTCAACGAGGAGCCCCGCGCGCCGCGGCCAGGGCGCGCATCAGTGGGTGGCTGTCACTCACTTTCGACTTCCTGGTCTGTCTAATAATAGCAAGGGGCCGTGTCTTCCCTCCGTTTGCTCCTCTCTTCTCCATCACCATCGGCATGCCGCATGTATATGCATGTACTACCAGCTATAGATAAATCTTGAAAAAGTAGTAATCGGAGACAATTATTTTTTCAGACAAATGATGAATTTTATTGGCTCAAAATGAAGCAGCAAGGTAATACAAGAGAAATGGTTTTATAGCGGGAATGTTTTTTTAAATACGTCATAAACATTTTTCAAATGTTGTTAAACATTTTGTAATACACAATGGACACTTTTATAATACACCATGAATTTTTTTAAATGGACGAACATTTAAAAAATACATGGATATTTTTTAGTTTCTTTATTCATTAATTTTTTTACAACACATGAATATTTTAACACTTTAATTGATTGTATATAAATTACAAGATAAGTTGATTATGTGTAACTAGATTGAAAAAGTTTAATTGATCTCTAAACTTATTATTTATTTTCACACGCAAAAATAGAGAAATAAAAAAAGGTGAAATAAAAAGAAAAATGCTTAAAATCAGGGGGGGTCGCAGATCCATGTCCGCTGCCCTTCTATGCATGCCACGTGCCCCATGTCCGTCACCACTAGTTTTTTGCATTTGGCTCCTTCTTGCATATTTTAACACTTTAATTGATTATCAATAAATTATTAAGATAAGTTGATTCTATATAACTAGATTGTAAAAAATTCACCAATCTCTAAACTTATTAGTTATTTTCACAGAAAAAAAGAGAAATGGAAAAAAA